AAGCGAAGTGAGGAAGCAACTCGCTGGCACTAAACACAGCCGATAGTTTCTCTATGTAAGTCGGCTTGAGAATATTGTCGGGATGCAGATCATCTTGTGTCCAAAGAGCATGAAGTAACTTCTTAATAGAATGAAGTTCGCGATCAGGAAGAGTCTTCTCCGCGTTGGAAACCAGATTCAAGATGCGAAGCCTTTCCTCGTCGGTACGCGCTTCACATCCGAATATGAGAAGCGGCAACGGTCTCTCACAGGTGCCCATCAAAGGGAGGAGCTGTAGTCCTCGTTCGACCAAGGCAGCTACGCCAGAATCCTCTCGCTCGCCTTGGTCGGTATTGCGACTTAGGTACACCAGCGTTGAAAGCCGATATACTTCAGACTTCGCGGCGATCCTCTCCGACTTCAGATCCGCGCGGCTGTACGATGCTGTTACCCGCAAGCTCTCGATTTCCGCTTTGAGTGTTCTGATCTTGCATCGATACTCCTGTGTGTGGGTCTCGGGATTATCGGATGGTAGAATTTCCGCAACAACCTCGGAGAGAAGACCCAACGGCTGGAAGAATCGCTTACTTTCCAACGATGCTTGGCCCATGATCATCGAAAGCTCAACACGGGCTTTCTTCCTCATCTCTGGCGAAGTGAACGGCCTTGTGTCGCAAATTACCTGACTTGGTAGCAGCGCTTTGGGTTTCCTCCAATGGCGAAGGCTGAATCGAGCTAATATCTCATGATATGATACCCACTCCAGCAACATGGGAGCGTCTGAGACCCTCCAAAATTTCTCAAGCGAGACACTTTCAATAAGAGTTCGCGAAGAACGTAGATAGCAAAGCCAATGGTTTGTTGAATGCGAGCTCTTTTGGGTCTGTAAGAATAGTGAGTGAGAATATTCCAGAATTCCTTTTGCAGCATAACAGCACATGATCTTCACAGACCTTCTACATAGGTTAGAATACAAGAGAATCATAATATACCTCAAACATGCAAAGAACCATCCCAGCTGCTACGTGCTGAACAGCCTTGTGGGCAGACATGCCTTCAGCAGCTGACAGAGACAGAGCACGCAAGGCCGATAGTTTCAGCTCCTCGGCACGGAATACCGGTCCATACCGATACTGTGCTGAAAAGGCAAGCAACGCGTGCTGCAAGGCTTTGCCAGCATGGGAGATTTCCGATAGGGCAATCCGAAGCAATGCTTCTCCTAGGGGTTGACTACTGAAACTTGAAAGATTCGGTCTCAGGGTCTCTCGAACTGAAGAAAGAGTGAGCCACCGTCAGGCATGCCGCTCTGAGAGGGAGTTCTAAATTCTTATGCTTACAGAAACGGAAAAGGCTTTGGTCGGTGGCATTTGATCCGGACGAGGACCATGGCAGTGGATACTTCATGATGGGACGTATCATGCGCCTAGCAATGAGGAAGTTGTGTACTTCGATGTCCCATGGAGTCGCGTTGATCATATGTAATCGACCTGAAGTATTATTGACCCGAGGGAATAATGCGGCTCGGCTGATAAGTGACCTCTTGCCATCAGTAGCCCTTGGCCAGGACAATCGAAGCCCGTAGCCCTGGCATTTGCGGTTGGATTTGATGCAGTTCGTACAGTGTGGAAACCGGCGGTCACAACTGACTTTGCGATCTGCCGAAACCGTCAGTACTCAGAGTGCCTACTAATCAGAGCTCTCTGCATAATTTGAGCGGACAATGGAGGGAAATGCGTCCAGACGGTTCATTTTGGTGCTCAGAACCAATCGAGTTTAGCGTACCTATGCAAGTTCCACAGCGCTTCTTCGACGATGTTGCGGCAGCCGCATCCCTTGAGTTTGTCATGTTTTTCGTATCGTCGAGAGAATGAGGTGATCCCGAATCGAGAAGGGGAATATGATCACAGACTCATTCGCAAAAAGTTGCTTGCTGACTGGCTTCTAGATAGATCATTCAGAAAGGATGAAGCTGACCACTGTTCGCTTTTGATTTCTAAGCGGGCGAGACGGCGTTGTCTCAGGGGTCGAAGATGCACGCCATCTTAGTGCAATTCACCAGGGTAGACGCTAGGAAACTTCCGACTGACGATTTTACTGGGCAACTTTTTGCGAAGGATGCTCACCCTAGCGTCTCAACAGACTAGCCAATTAAATTTGTATGGGGAACATAAGCACCGAAGAGTGTGGGCATCTTTTTGCGAGACGCAATGGTATCAGTTCTCCTAGCGTCACTGTGCATGCGATTGCTTACTCATGCGATCTAGAATTCGATGATGATCAGAGAAATTCCCTCCACGTTTCGGGCGGGTGCGCATCTTTCATTACCAGATGTGCAATAACTGTGGAAACCTTCGCCTTCACGAGCGTCAGCAACTCCCAATGATGTGGCGCCGGGTTGGAGTAACCCTCTGATAGCGTCCAGGGTAATGTGGAAAGCGTCCCTCCAGCCTGCATAATCTCGTTGGAAGTTGCACTCGTTTTGGGCAAGGCCCAATCACATTACTCATTCCATGCTCGAACTCGGGAGGGGCACGGAAACCGAACATACGAGATTGAAGAGGATACGTGTGTATATAAACTGCCATGATGCCTCTGTGCTTCTTATCATTTGGGCTCATCACATCAACTACGCCAGCAGATTCAGCATTCAACCTCGACAGCTAGTAAAACCAATTTCTCTACCACATCACGTTGGAAGCTTACCATACACACTCAGAGATGCCTTCCTATCTCATCACAGGAGTCAACCGCGGCATTGGCGTACGTCAGCCCTTGAGCTTTTCTTGACTTTTGTGTTTGAAGAGATGGAACTGACCAGAATGACAGTGGGGATTCCTCAGGAAATTATCCGAGGACGCCAATAATACCGTGATTGGCAGCGTTCGCGATAAGGCTGCTGTCGAGAAAAAGATTGCCGAGGAGCTCGGAGACCGTCCCAATATTCACATCGTGGAATTCGAGCTAGTCGACTACGAAAGCATCAAGGTTTGCAAATTCTAATTGGCACAAAACACTGAAGCCTTGGTCTCGGAAGCTGATGTAGCTTGCATAGAAATCGGTTCCGGAAGTCTCCAAGATCACCGGAGGCAAACTTGACTACCTCATTGCCAACGCAGCATATGTCTCGCCTATCTCGACCTGGCTCCCCATTGGAAAGCAGTAGGTCTTTCGTAGAGGCGTAGTATAATCCCCAGTGATCAATCATCAACTGACATTGGACTTCTTTCAGAGCTGAAAAGCCGGAAGAGCTTGAAGAAGATCTATTGAAGAGTTTCAAGATCAACGTCGTTGGCAATGTCCACCTATTTAGCCTCTTCTTGCCGTTGATACTCAAGGGAGATGTTAAAAAAGTCATTGCCATCAGCTCCGGTATGGCCGATCATGAGATGGTTAACCAGTACCGCCTCGAAGTCAGCGCCCCCTACTCCATCAGCAAGACAGGCGTGAACATGGCCGTGAGCAAGTTCCACGCCCAGTATGCCCAAGACGGAGTCCTTTTCATGAGCATCTGCCCCGGAATTGTGGACACTGGACACAACCAGAAGCGTAAGCCCCTCTGACCATGGTGGACTATAACTGTTTTAGTCCCGAAACTAACCATCATTTGTTTCAGTAAGCGAAGTGCACCAGGAGTACTTTCTGAAGACCGGTGCCATTTTCAACGAGTATGCGCCCGGTGTTGCGCTCGCTACTCCAGAGGACTCTGTCAATGATGTTCTCAAGGTCATCTACGACTCCAGTCTTGAGAACGGCAGAGGTGGCGAGTTCATCTCTCACTTGGGCACCAAGAGATGGTTGGAGGCCGGCGCAGGAAGCGTTGCTCTTTGAAGGACACATGAATTCATTCTGCTCAACGGTCCAGAATTGAGACGTATGATTGTCGAATGTTTGCAGTCAGTCGGGTAGAGAACCATCACTCGTTGCTTCCCAATACCGAAAACCTCCAATATTCGAGCCTTTACCAGTTCAGTACCTATGGAACAATCCCAGACTGGCAATCAGAGAGGTGTGGAAAGTAAAGCCATGGCCCGTGATTCATACTTGTGATTGTAGTGGAGGCAATTGATTAGACAGGTACACCTTTGGGGGAACAGCTCACTTACTAACTCATGGCCACTCTTTGTGAAACCAAGTATTGTTTTAGGCGACAATCACATCAGCTATATCACGATTGTCGAAGTACAGCGCTCGGCATACAGCTCTTATCATCGTGAGAACTCATTACACGTGCATGCAGGTTACTCAGCTTACTGAAACATCAGCTGACCTGCGGTACAGGTCAGCCTGGACTATATATCACGCACACATGCTTTATGAGGCACCTTCCTGAATGAGTCTGCTTACCCACGATGAGAAAATCAAGAAAGGTAACTTACTTCAACTGAGCGTGCAATCAGTCTATTCCTCTTGTATTCGCTGATTTTACCTAAGACTACAGAGAGGACAAACAACTCATACCACATTGCCACGAGTCGAACTACCAATATTTCTCATTCTTAACTTCTACGTGACGCTGACACCTAGGTATCTCAATGCTGACAAGCTATCTTATGATGCACAGGGGCTCTGTTGTGATCATTATCACTGCATGTGATCTGGTGTCACGATGCTGACGACCTACAGTGTCCAAGTACACATCTGCCGTCATCAAGACTCAAGGGGTAATATCAAGTATCTGGTACTTCTTCCGACACCATACCAGCCTTACCAGGTCATAGACATTCTTCTTCAAATTGAAATTAATTATCTGACATCAACGAACTAAGGTAATACCATTCGAATGATTTGTACTATTGTGTTCCAGGTCCCAACCGAGACATGGACTGCTCTGAATACGGCGTGGGGGCTCATATTGCCATAAACAAAGACAACACGATAATGAAAATAAGTAAGGCCATATCCCTTAGCTCAGTTGCTTATTCTCACCATCAAACTCAGAACCTACTTGCATCACGTTGGATCCATTTCCAGTCTTCTTTTGGATAAGCACTCAGCCACAGGCAAGTTCACTAGCCATCACTATGAAGCTAACTACTTTTGCCATCTTATCATTCAGGGGTCAAGCTCTGTCAGCCACTCTGTTGAAGCGCGAATGCGGCGTGCCACCAGGCGCACATTGCGATATTGTCGGCCGGATCAGGTGCGAATTTAACGGAGGACATATGATACATTTGGAAGAGTAAGGAGAAGTTTTGCGGAGAATTTGATTGGAAGCCTATGTTAACCCTTTGCAAACTTCAAGATGCATTGCGCTGCTGATGATACTTGGTCGTACGGCTCGAACTGCGCTGCGGCTAGTAAACCTTGCCTTTGCGAGACGGGCACTTGCGCTGTTTGAACATTCAACTCAGCTTTAAGGACGAGGAAGACAGAGGGAAAATGGCTATGGCTTTGACTTGACACCAACATAATGTGCTCTGGACAGGCTGTTTCCAGTGTTATCCTCGAATCAGGGTTATCGTGTAAAGCCAGAAAACGCGAATCGCTCCTTGTCCACTCGCTTCCCATCTAGTGTGAGAATTAGTCTATGCCTATCCATCAATAAATCTCAGCCAAGTAAACATGGCACACTTGCAGTCCCACGGATCGATGGCGACGTTGAAATGTGCTGATCCATCATGCTGGGAATCCAATTTGCAAATTCAGAATTGGAAGTCTCACGAAAGGGGTTTTCCCCTCACGTTGTCCCTTACTCATACAAGGACATTTGCAGTCAAGTATCTGATTGGAATTGTTCACACTTACCAAAAAAAATCTTGAAAACAAAAACTTAAGATCCGCAACAAGTAGATAGTGCTTTCCTCCATTGGAATCATTCAGAAGATAAGCATTCTCACCGTTGAGCATTTCGTGTTGTTTGGGAGCAGAGACCCAAGCTCCAAGCCTCTGGACCCTGACTTCAACTGTGAGGGCCCATAGTGGACAAGTCCCCTGTTTCCCCACAATGTTGCTTGGCTAAAGTGCTGCCGCCAGCCCGCAGTCTTGGGCAGATCACCCGCCGCTATGAGATCATCTGGGCCGAGTGACTAATGACCCACAAATGAGTAGAAAAGTCTGAATCCAAAGCGATGCCAGTTGGGCGATGGGAACTGATCTCGTCGAGAACCTGATCTCCAGGGCGTCCATCGTGCTTGATTAACCCTTTTGAGCGGCCAGGTCAATGTCTTCTGTGATATTTGTACTTGTGAGTCAAGTATCGCGCTAATAGATTTGGTGGTTAAGGGGGAAGTTAAGGTTTGCTTCCCAGCTCGTCGAATTAACCTGCCAATCCAACTATAACTCCAAAGAAGCTGACCTACTTTATCATGCATTACATCAAAACATATAGCATTCAGATTTCCGTCGGCAACGACAACACCCCTGATCATAATTAAACTTAAATAAGGCTCACAGAAGGCACATATTTTACTGACATTTCATTGTGAGGCGAAACCGCCAAAGTCGTACCGCTGAACTTGCCGCTGGCGAGAACAAGGCGGATCTTGGCGTCCCCGTGCGGGCCAAAAGTGGATTGAAAGACGTAACAAGAACTGCTGAATTTTCGCCCGCCGTCCCATTCTCTAGGCGGAGGTTCCAGATCCAGTAATGCCTTTTCTTTTTTATCGTGTCAGAAAATCTTGAGCCGAATGTCATTCACGCCTTGGTCGGCTCAGATGGCGCGGAATGAACCCGCGTGAGTCAATCCAAAGTTGCCGAAGGTGAGAGGAACCGGAATGTCGTCTTCTTGAAAACATTCTTCCCTCAAACATATGCCGACGAGAACCGTTCCCGAACAACTCAGAATCCGGGGCCCCTCAAAGTTAACCGCTGCAGGAACAAGCCATTTCTCCACCGATCCAAGTTGCGTGTTAATGTTGGCCTGTTGATTTCGATCGAGTCTATTCGAACGCTCCACCGAGCCTGACTGGTTCCACCTTCTCCGCGGTTCAGCAAGTCGAATTGTGAGGGAATCGCGATCGAGGCCAGGATCTCCCACCACTCGGTTCCTACTTACCGAGTCTTACCCCGGATTGCGCAATACAGAAATCATGGGGAACGAGGCTGAAGCAATGAGAGCGCCTGTCGATCCTGAGCGTCAAGATTTGCCCAGCCATCAAGGATCAAAAGGCCATGAGCAAGATCCCATTGCGCCACCTGCGTTCTCGACGGGCTCGGGCGGCATCATCGAGAAGGAAGAAGGCGAATTGATCAACTTCAAGACATTACATTGGCTGTAGGCTTCTTCTACAGCAAGATTTACCTAGAGATATGCTGACGTTGGTACAGGCAAGGAGGCATCGTCCTCGTCGCAGAGACAGTCTCTCTAGGAATTCTATCGCTTCCGTCCGTCCTTGCAACCGTTGGACTGGTCCCCGGAGTCATTCTCATCTGCGTAATCAGCGCTCTTGCGACCTACTCTGGTCTTCTCCTCGCCGACTTCCGGAAACAGTACCCCTTCGTCCAGCACTTCGGCGATGCGGTCGAGTTAATTGGAAGGCCCATTGGTATGGGTGGCATCTTCCGAGAGGTCTTCGGATGGGCCCAGACTATTCTGCAGGTTTTCCTCATGGGAGGTCACATTCTCATGTGGACTATTTGCATGAATACTCTCACGAATAGTACAACATGTACCGTCGTCTGGGCTGCTGTTGGAATGCTGGTTTTCTGGGTCTTCAACGTTCCTAGGACCTTGAAGTGGACGAGCTGGATGTCAGCAACTTGTGAGTCATCAGACGGCTATTGATTGCCACGAATGGTTGCTAACTTCCGCAAGCCTGCGTATCTATCGTGGTGGCTGTTCTAATCACGGTCATTGACGTTGCCATTGAGAAGCCCATTGGAAGTGGGTCGATTGACGTCTTCAAGTCCCTCGGCTTTTCTCCCGCTTTTCTGGCTGTCACCAACATTGCAGGTGCTTTCTGTAAGTAATCCACACAATGAAAAGATCAGAAACCATACGGACTTCTGCTCACAAAATCCCCTTCTAGCAAGCCATTCGATCTTTTTCAGCGTCATCGCCGAATTCAAGAACCCCGACGATTGGCCAAAAGCACTTGCCTTCCTTCAGATCACGGATACAACCCTCTACATTATCGCTGCCGTCATTATCTACGTTTACGTGGGCCCCGATGTTCCCTCGCCGGCTTTATCTGCAGCAGGTAGCGCAACTATCAGGAAAGCGATTTGGGGCGTTGCTATTCCCACGATTGCCATCGCTGCCGTTATTTACGCCCACGTTGCTTCTCAGTACGTGTTCACACGTATCTTTGGTAACACTAAGCATGTTGTCAGAAGAACCCGAGTATCGACAATCTCTTGGCTTCTCATCACTCTGGGTATCTGGGGAATTGGCATGGTGATATCTGAATCCATCCCCGTCTTCAACAATCTACTGGGGCTGGTCTCTGCTGCCTTTGCCAGTTGGTTCTCCTTTGGACTGCCAGGTATTTTCTGGCTCTGGATGCACAAAGGTAATTGGTTCTCGACCTGGCAGCAGAAATGCCGGTTCGCGGGGTCTTCGCTACTTTTGCTTGTGGGAATCCTGCTTTGTGTTCTTGGATTGTGGGTCTCTATTGAGTCCATCGCGAAGGGTGGATCTTCCGCGAAACCTTGGACATGCGCCAGCAACGCCGCAGAGTGAGGTACCTACCATCTTAGTTGGGGACATTGATATACGTAGTCGAGTCCTGTGTATTACTATAATGCGACATCTCTATCATTCAAGTCACGGGGCAAGGGTCTTCTAATGAACCATAACTAAATTTATGGTTGTGTGTTCTCGACCTAACGTCATGGCTGGTCGGTATCTTGAGTTGGTGACTGCACGGAAGTTGACTGTGACCGACTGCCTCAGACGTGTTTTTTGGACCTAATTTATTAATTTACTAGCACGAGCAAGGGGCAATACAGTCGTCCAATATTACTTCGGCAGAAAGTCTACGATACGCACGGTGAAACGGGAATGGGCGGGGAATAAGTTCTCCAGCTCTCGGACCAGGTTGCCTGGCACCCACGCACCCCGGCACGCCTGGGTAATTTTATTACAAACATTGCAAGCCGCGTCTAAGTCATGACCGGCAATGGGTTTCCTTTTTTAAGCCCAGCTTACTGCTGAGTTGGCAAATCGCATGCAGTGCAAACATCTATTCCAGACTTTTTGTCACAGGCCTTGCAGCACCTCAGAGGCGTGATACACTTGCTGCTAGCTAGGGTGCGCCTGGTTGGTAAGCACCTCGTCGTACAGAGACAATGTTCACATCCCTTGCAGCATGTCATCTCACTTAAATTCAGCACGAAGAAAGTGTGTTTGTGGATTAAATTGTTTGAAATTCTTGTTGGTATCTATGTGACAGACTACACATTATTTGCAAGAACAAGCCCCTCCTGTTAAAATAAATCATGACTTCATCGAGGTGCGCGCGTGTATGGGCAGCCCCGTACAAACAAGAAGTTCGGTCACATATGTGCAGAGTTCCACCCTCCAGCGGCCCCCAGCGGCTATTTTTTGTTGTCCTTTCGGAATTGCACGAGGCAAATTTACAGAAGGAGAGCGAAGATGGCGGCAGCCAAGCCGGCACCGGAGAAGGTCATCAGCGCAGCGCCGGCAGTGACAACGGTGGTGGCGGTGGGAGAAGCACCGCGGGTGCCGTTGGTGTGGGCAGTAACGGAAGCGGTGGCAGTAGCGGCGGTGACGGCCTTGGTGGCGGTTCCGACACCCTTGTTGTCGTTGCCGGTGCCGGTGCCGGAGGAGCTGCCGGAAGATCCGGAGGAACCCTTGCCGGCGGTAGCGCAGGTGCTGAGCTTGTCCTGCATCTCCTGGAAGATACCATCGAAGTGAGTGATTTCATCGCCACCCTTGCCACCGGCAGGGAACTTGGTGGAGATGGAGGTCATCAAAGTGTGGACGTTTCCGCCTGGAAGATGTTAGCGGCGTGGTCTTGGAACCCTGCGCCATGAAAGCGACTTACCAATCTGAGCAACCCAGGAAAGAGTGCTGTCGCAGATACCTGCCTGGGCGAACGAAGGAACCTTGTCGCTCAGGTCAACAAGAAGCTTGTCGCCAGCGGCGTTGAGCTCGTCAGAGAGGGGCTGGAAGGCGATGGCCTCATCCATGGTCAGAGCCAACATGGCAACCGCGTTGTAAGTGGCAGTGCGGATGGTGGTGAGCATGGTGGAAGAGGCATCCTCGAGGTCCTTGCCATCACCGCCAGCGTAGGCGCAGATCGAACCATCAAGACTCTGGATGCCATTGAGGACGGTGGTCATGATGGTGTTGACCTGGCTGAGCTCACGCGCGCAGAGCTCGGGGGTAGGGGTCGCAATGACGCCAGCGGCGAGGAAGACGATGGGAGTGGTGAACTTCATTTTGATGGTTGTTGGAATGAGAGTAATCAAAGAGTGACTGGTAGCGAGTGATGTTGGAGAGGACGAGGAAGCAGGCTTTTGAAGGCGGGTGGCTGTTTTGATGCTGTTGACTGATGATCTAGACATGGGAGATCGACAGTCCATGTGCAGTGTTTATATATCCATGCCAACTTGGCCATCCCAGAGTTGTAGATCGCTCTGACTTTCTTCTCAACCCCCTGAGTTACCCCAGATAATCTTAGGCGCGAGGTAGAATCTCACGTGTGTGGGATAACGGGCGATGGCGGCTAAGATTTCTCAAACAACGCCGGCGCAATTGCTATTTTTTCCGATTGTCTTCCTTTCCCTCCCTCTAGCCTTGTGCTCGGACAAGCATAGGATCTGACCATGATCGATTTTTGGTGCGCGGCAAATGATCAGCGGCGGGTGGTGAGGGCGCCACGCGCACGCTAGATCAAGCCGTTTCTTTTTATGCGGACATGGCGCGAACCTGGGGGGATTAATCAGGAACGCGCCACATCCTGTGCACCCCAAACCGAGTCATATTTCGAGAAATTGGAGGGGACTTTTCTTTCTAAGCACTAGTCTACATGCATGTCTAGCAGTAATAAGCTCTTCTGCGCAGGCTTCCAAGTCTAGTTGCTCGCGGGCGAACACAGGCGTTGTGACTGACCGCGTGCGGCTTGGCAGCTGTCTCGCCGAACGGCTCAGAAGGATCACAGTGGCTGATTCAGACAGGCTTTCAGCTGGCGCAAAGACCTGATGGATTGGCCTTAATCAGCATGCCACAGATCAGAGTGCTTGGCTTCGCGTTGTTCTAGACCTTGTCTCGAGGCTCGCTCAGACTGTTATGATTGTCCTGGCTGCATTCATGGCAAACAACCTCAAACACAGTCAGGATAAGCGCGTTGTAGTAGCTTCCATTTCAACTTCGGCCCATTCTGGAAACTTCATTGCGGAAGAGCTGTGCACATCTTCGTTGCCCTGCTCGTGACTCAATTAGTGCAATTGTGCACAGAACTTCAGCCGCTCCCGCAACTCGCCCACCTCATTGTTTCCAAACAAGAAACCGTAGGGCCGGCATATGAGAGGTCGGTTGTGAAGTATAGCATCATGGCGCTGCCTTGCGGCTGAGGTTGGTTTCGGTGTTTCCCGCTGTGGCTAACCACCCGCTTTTGCAACGTGCAGATGGAGTTGAAAAGCTGGAGGCTTGAGAAGCTTTTGGCACGGACAGAATTTGAGGGCTGATAGTGTATTGGCCGTCCGAAGAAGCCAATTCAGCCTCGTGAAACTGGACTCACGGATCATTCCTCCTGCGTTCTGTCAGCTCCACTCGGACAAGCAGCTCGTCCGGCAAATGTGTCTGGTTCCAACAGCCGAAGCTTTGCGCTCGAGCCCATCGTAGACCACGGCGAGACCCTCTCTGAACATGTAATTTCAGAGAGAAGAATAGTATTACGCCAAGTAGAGGCCGTAGATCATTCTAAGTGCTAAGTGCAACATGGCCCTCATGTTTTCTTCTTTCCTCTGTTGCAGCCAGCTTGTTACCACCTCCCAAGACCATGCAGGTCTCGGTGTGCAATATAAGTCAGAGGAAGTGCCGTGGATCTTTGCAGACAAATTTTGTTGCAACTTCTGAAGATCTCCCCGTCTTTTTCAGTTCTGCCGCGATTTGATGTTATCGACTTCTCATTTATCAGGATATCTAACAATCATACACGTTCGTTTTAAACGCTTCCATGTCTTCTAGGAAACTGCAAGTCATTCCCATCCACCTCAGGTAGGACTTTGCTCAAAGGTGACGGATAAGGTCCTTCAGCCCAGACTATGTTCTTGATTTCAGCAGAGTACTATATGTGCCGCACATCATTATTGGTAAGTCAAGCTAAGCAGTAGGTGAGGTATAGGAACTGGCGCTGGACGGCACATAGAGACAGAGAAGCAGTGATGCAACATACTGATATGTGTCTTCGAATACCTCAGGTAACGGCCAAGATGTTGACTCACACCAAATAGAATAGCTCAGGTGTTCCTGCCAGGTCGGCCTCGGAGATCCGGGATAAAGCCACTATCTATTAGTACCTTAGTACTCAGAAAACTGAGGAGACGTTGACCATAGACGCATCTTCCATAGTGGACATTACTTTCTTCATCACACCTCGACTCAGCGTCATGGAGCTCGGGCATTCATTCGATCACTTTTTGGATTCTTGAAAAACGTGAGGACCCCAGCACCGCTCTAGGACTTCCAGATATGGAACGGTGAAAGCTTCTAGTCACTTCTTGGTGATGCATTGATGTACATGAGACCTCTGTGTGATTAACACAGTACATTTCCACCTACTTACCTCAACTATAGCTAGAAATTCCCATTCTCAGCTTTAATTGAACTCAAAACAGAGAATACTAATCCTTGAATGGTGTATCCGAGGGATGCGTGAATTTACTAAAGGTCATTCGAGGGGCTAGCAATAAGTTACGACGAATGAGAACCAAGTCGTCTGATGTATGGCCATATGTATCGCATCGCGGGGTATATTGTGAGAAGACAGCCGAGGATATCATTGGTCGTGTTTAGTAATCCGTCTCGGCTGGTACTTTCCTCCCAGTCTGAATTCTTCCATATATCCATGTGAGAAAGTATTAGATGTGGAACTACAAAAGAAACTCAACCGACCTGACTACCTGAGGTATCCCCTGTGTCTGAGCTCATATCTCAAATACAGCCTCAGCTTCCTACGTTCGAAGCCTTACATCTTCCAACCTGTGCAAACATCTTCCCGAGACCCCAAACGTATCGACGATCAAACTTTACAGAATCGTCGAAGAAGACTCGCCAACCATGTCTCAACCAGTCTATCAGATAGTAGTAACTGCTGATGAGGACAAAACCACAGCCTCGAAGCGACGTGCTATCTACCTCCGTCCATTTCTCCTCTTCTGGCTCAATTCCCTTGTCTTCGAAGTTGCAATGCTCATAGTCAGCATCGCTGCCTTTTCAGGATGGCGCAGTATGTTCCCTAAGTTCATGTGGACCATCGTGTTTTGCCCTCTGGGCATGGGAGGCGCCATGGGAGGCCTCATCAACGCCTTCATTGTCGATCGCATCTACGGAAAGCGAGCAGTCCATTTCGTCGCAATCCTGAGCGTCCTGGTTCTAGGGGCGTGTAACAACCTATGTTATAACTTGGATCTCGTGTTCGGATGGTTTGGTGCCCAGGACCATTTCTGGTGGTGGCACTGGCGGTATCTGGGGGTTTGGTTCGTTGGGTACTTCAACGGCAGGATGATGTTCACGGATGAAGGACAAAAGTCACTTGCTGATTTCGGTGTTTAAAACTCCAGTGGATTTGAGAGATCGTATATTATTTATGTGTTGTCTTATTCAGGTGTTGTCTTTCATCTAGCCAGAACTGTTCAAAGAGAGGTTGGTTCTTGCGAAATAATATACATGAAAAGGACTTCTATGAACACACTTTATATACCTAGGTACCTAGGGGAGTGGACGTTCAATTCATTCCATCACTGACCTATCTTGTCTACCTATACTGGGATCAGAGTCCAAGATACAGAATTTGCGCAAGAAATTCAAGAATCAAACCTAAGTAGCGATAATAATGTGCAATTTGTTTTGGCCATATGGCATCTTCCGTTTAAAGCCGAAATTCAAACTACAACTCATTTGGGGTCGGGTCAGAGTACGTATTTTTATCTAATATTTTATAATACTGAACATCAATCATTAAACTCTATCACGTCATAAATCTCGTGAGATCAGGAGATCTATCACACCGGCAGCTAACGTTCAGCCCCCAAAGAAAATAAGATATTAACATGGAATCATCGCCACGTTCAGTACATGCGATCAACGCAGAGCCACTGCTTTAAGAACTCAGAGCCTGGTGATACTGTCGGTGCAATCGGCCAGGTTGTTCTTATCATTTCCAAACAGTGCCATTTTTTCCATACTACTCCGCGTCAGTAATCGAGCATACATGCAATTTTCTCATCATGGAGTAACTCACGCGTTGGTAAAGCTGCTGCTCCACTTATTCTGCTGTCCGATGAAGCCCTGGAACTTCTTTCCGATGTCTCCAGAGGTAGAGGTGGAGATTTTGGAGTCCGACGGGAACACAAAGACGCCCGGTGCAGCAGTGCCCTTAGTCGCGAAGTCGTATGTCTCCTTGTAGTAGCTGACGTCCCATTTTCCAGGCCTGGTAGTGAATGATCAGCATTTGTATAACGATGTTGAATTTCATGACATGATGAGGCGACTTACGTTGAGTCTTGGGACGCGTTGGCCTTGGTCGTATCGACAAAGTTTTGCGTCGAGGTGCTGTGAGCCCCCAGGAGCGCAGCAAGAGCCTCGGCGTCAAGGCCCTTCTTCTGGAAGAGTGCAACGAGTACGTCGGCGGAGGCAAAGACGTCAGGCAAGCCACCATCCTTGGCAGACGTGGTGCTGTCCGCACGGCCGATGAAGGTCTTCACCTTGGGCCCCCCGGGGCAGAGGAAGATTGCGGCATCTGAGGCGTGGGATATCAGCAAAAGAATACTTCCCACGTGACTTTTCTGATTTCATAGCGAGACTTACTTCCAGCGAAGACAATCATGTCCGCAACGGTAGTGTTGTACTTGGTTGCAAGACCCTGTAGAACACCGGCAATTTTCTGCAGGCCCCTGTTCTCGCTCCTGTTGAGTTCGACATCAGGGTTGACACCGACAATTAGCGAGCCGTCGCAGCCACCGTTGAGGCCTTGGGAGGTGTCCCAGGAGCCACAGTCATGGAAGATTGCGCGGATAGATGCGCGTGCGAGATCGTTGCACTGAGGACCACTCATGAAGAGAGAGTTGAGCTCAGTGTTGACTTGCTTCCAGACTGCTGGGCACTTGGCTCCGCCGCGAGTGTCAAGACCCTTTGCGACGACGGCACCAGAAGAGGCATCTTCAGCGTGGGGGAGGACTGCGGCATTGGCGAGTGCCAAGAGGCCAGCGAGAAGGAG